GAAAGGAGAATGAATTGAGAAGCATTTGGGATAGTGACCATACAGTCTATCATGGGGAGGGAGGAAATGAGGGCAAGAGGTTGTTCACCGATCAGGAAGAAGAGGAGGACCAATGGAATGGATGTCCTGACAAGCTAGAAGAATTATCATCTTCAGGACAAATCTGAAGGTTGAAGTCAGAGGGTGGGATGTCAGACTGTGTTATTTCAGAAGACAAAGCAGCTCCTGATGCTGAGACTTCAGATTTGACCATAGCTGGATTGGAGCACAGGGAAAGGACTCTGAGATTAAAAGATCTAGGAATTGAGATCATTGAATGGTCTATCCTCACAGATTTTTGGGTCTCCCGTAGATTCCCTCTTTTCAAGATTCCTGCCCTAGGCCCCATCCAGACTCTTCCCCAACCTTCAGAGGGACTGCATTCATACTTCAGGTGAAGCCTCAAATCATAAAAGAGTAATGACACAGCTCTGGGTCAGAAGACAGAATGGGAAGTTAGAGAGGGCTGTAGTGAACATCATTCTGTTTTACTTTGTTTTGATATCAAAGTAAATGCGCATACACCTTTTTAGAAACAGTATGTCTGTGGCCTTTAAAAAAATACCACACTCTCACTTCTTCAGTCTCAGTCCACATGCAGATGGAGTGGTCTTCCCTCCACACTCTTATTCTAAGGGTGTATATGAGACTCAGACCTGTCAGAAGAAGCAGTCTATTCCCCTGTGAACAGTACAATGAGGAGTTCAGGGATGGATACATGACCAATTGGAACCCATAAGTCACAATGTTGTCAGCATGACATCACATTTTTAGCATCACTTTCACCTGCTACCACATAAAACCTGAGAAAAGTCAGTACAGAAGACAGAAGCCAAGTAGTGGAAACTGAACCTTGATGACATTGAATTGAGTCCCTGCATCAGTCCTACTACCTGGAGCCAGCTTTACCCCTGGACTGTTCAGTTATCAGTCAATACTTCCCATTTTATTTACGCCTGTTGGATTTTATTTGCTGTCATTTATATCCAAATGATTCCTCACAGTACAAGGGGGGTTCTCAATCCTTGGCTCTGCCTTGGGAAGGAATATATATTCTCTGAGCTCCGTTTCCCCTTATGTGAACAGGGATAACAATACCTATTCAAGGAGTTGTAAAGATTAAATGGAATAATAATTGTCAGAGTATAAATTTGTTCCATAACATTGAGAAGCAAGAAATACCACATTACTTAATTTTTCTAAATTAAATTAAATTTAGCTCAAAACTCCCATTTACTAGGATTTGAAGACATCTACTATTAATCATAATTGGGTGGTCTTTTTCCCTCTTTAGTGTGATATTCACTGACCAAAAACAAAAAAAGAAGAGGAAAAGACAAACACTTAGGAAAAAAGCTCAGGATGAGTCTGTCATGGTTGCCCCAAGGATATGCATTGTCTAAACCCATCTGGCCCGTTCAAAGACAGGTGGCTATACAACATCTCTGCCAAGTATGCACCCCAGCATCTTTTGCTGCAGTTCCCAAGACTATGTGCTAGATGGTTAGTGGCCTAACCATTAAATCAGCCCTTCCAGTCAGAAGTCCTGTGCTTCCTAGCAAACTTTGTACAGTGTCTGTCACTCATGGGACCCATTGCTACATCTTTTTTCCCAAGTCCCTGGACCCACTGCTATCTTTGGGCAACTCCTCTTCCCTCAACCCAGCACATCCTCTGTCTTTCTCCTTCTCAAGAACACCAGCTAAATTAAGTTCCCCTCCCACACAAGAGCCTGGATAAGGTTGTAGATCAGGTGTCTTGGACTTTGTTTTGGGACTAGAAAATATAAAATCCATTAATAATTCCATGAGACAAGAAACCTAGAATTCCTGGGAGAAAGGAAAACAAAGTTGCCTTCTTATCCCACTGGCAAGGAATAGGAAACAGTAATTAATAACTTGGTAAATTATCCTACCATAAATATAAATTAACTAGCACAGAATACATATTCAGTATTGCCTTCTCTAGGGATTCAACTTATCTTCTTCATGCAGAGGTAGCAAACCCAAATACCAGCAATACAAATGAGTAAAACTGGACAAATATAAGAAAACAAAATCAAAGACACAATGCTAAACAGTAAATAACCCTTAGCCTTGGCATTAACAATGAAAATATGGTAAGAACCCTGGTGAATTGGAGAGCACATGTCCACTTCAAAGGGAGCAACTGCTACTTAACTCTAAGTCAGGGGTGCCCAACCCGGGGCCCACAGGCCGCATGCAGCCCAGGATGTCTGTGAATGCCGCCCAACACAAAATCATAAATGTATTCAAAACATTACAAGATTTTTTTGTGTGATTATGTGTCACAATGTATTTAATGTGGGGCCCAAGACAGCTCTTCTTCTTCTAGTGTGGCACAGAGACGCCAAAAGGACTCTGCAAATGGTCTTTACTTGGTAGGAAGGGGAATCCAATGTTGCCAGATTTTAAGCTTGAAATGTTGATTATTATGTACAACTTATTAAGCTTACAGTGTTGACTACTAATTAAAGTTTTTAATTAAAAAAAACTGGCCACATTGTCTGGGCTAAATTTTATATATCAGTTGGTCATCCTAAGCCTTTTTATGGTTTCAGCTGCTACATATATGCTGCTAGCTGGCAAATTTACATCTTCCCCATAGACTGTTCTCCCAAGCTTCAAATCTATGTATCTAATTGCCTCCTGCCTAGCTTTTCCTTGTCACAGGGACCTCAAATTCAAATGTATAAAATGGAACCCATCAGTCCTGGCTGGTGTGGCTCGGTGGATTGAGTGCCGGCCTGCAAACCAAAGGGTCACTGGTTTGATTCTCAGTCAGGACACATGCCTGGGTTTTGGGCCAGGTCCCCAGTAGGGGGCATGTGAGAGGCAACTACACACTGATGTTTCTCTCCCTCCTTTCCCCTCTGTCTATAAATAAATAAAATCTTTTTTTTAAGGGAAAAAATAAAATAAAATTAAATAAAATAAAATAAAATTAAATTAAATTAAATTAAAAATGTAACCCATCAATTCGACACAAACCCTATAATGGTATCCAGGTCTGTGTTCCCTATCTCAGTAAAATGGCCCCAACGTACACACCCGGTTTCCTCCCAGAATCCCTGGAGTCATTCTCAACTCCCACTTCCTCCACCCCATCCCATCGTTACAAAGTCTAATCAGTTTCATCTGTGGAATTCTATTTGAACCTATTATTCCCTATTCCCACCATCACTGCCTTGCTTCAGGCCTCATCTTTTATTTTGCCTAAATTAAAGCAAGAGTTCTCTAACTAATCTCTTGCCTTCAATCTCTAATCTCTTTACCCTAACTTTAGCCAGTGTTCTTTACAAGACACAAACTTGATTTTGTCACTTCCCTGCTCAAAACTTTTCAATGATTTACCATTACCTTCAAAATAAATTTCTACTTCTTAGACTGGCATTCAGGGCCCTTTGTGATCTTATCTTTCCAGGTCTATCTCCTATTGCTTCCTCAATCCCTACTGCATTGAAATACCTTCATTTTTCCTAATGGGACATATTTTCTCTGCCTTAGCACCTTTATGCAGGCTATTCCTCCTGCTTGCACTGTCCTTCTCTCACTCCCTACACTCTCATTTTCTTGGTTCCTCAAACCAAGCATTAATCTTCTCTTCTGGGACATAGCCCCTGACAAGCTATCCCCTTCTCCAGCCTGGTTAGAGGCTGGTTATCTCCAGCCTTTTCTGCCTCCATTGTGCATATCTCTATTTTATTGTCTATTACTTGACTACTTTCCCCACTGAAATGGACTTACTTTAGAGTTTCTGTCTTACTTCTGCCTACTCAAAATTGATCATAATACCTGATCAATAAATATATATTGAGCCCTGGCTGGTGTACCTCAGTGGACTGAGCACAGGCTGTGAACCAAAGGGTCACCAGTTCGATTCCCAGTCAGGGCACATGCCTGGGTTGCAGGCCAGGTCCCCAGTAGAGGGCATGCGAGAGGCAACCACACATTGATATTTCTCTCCCTCTCTTTCTCTTTCCCTTCCCCTCTCTCTATTAATAAATAAATAAAATCTTTAAAAAATAAATATATATTGAATGAACTAATTGATCCAATTGAGGGTAGCAGTGGAGAAACTTTTCTTCCCCAAGATCACATGGCCAATCAGTGACAAAACTAGAGAAGCCAGGTCTTCTCAGTTTTTGTTCTGTGCTCTTTCTACCAGACTAAGCTGGCCTTTGAGAGGGGTGGGGTTAGAAGAGAGGCATTGACTTGTACCAGGAAGGCAAAGATTGAAGGTTGGCCCTGAAAATAAGAGTTGACATGGAATAAGTGGTGGTTTAAGGGGAAAGAAGGGCAAATGAAGAAAAATGGTCAAGCACATTTGATTTATATGTTACCCTTAATAAGAATGCTTGCCAAAAATATCTCAGGCAACCTTAAGTCAAATAAGACAGTTTGCAACAGATATGAGACTTAAAAAAAAAAGAGGGAGAAGATTCTATCCATTAAAAATGGAATGAGGCTTGTAATCAGGAGCCTTAAAAGAAATAAAATTTTAATGTAGTATGTATATAATATAGCATATATACTATATACAGTTCTAAACATATAAATTTATTCATTTAATTCTCAAAAAAACCCTATGTGGTAATAAATAATATTATTCTCATTTACAGGTGAAAAAGCTGAGGCACTGAAAGATTAAATTTGACTAAGATTTTACAAGTAGAAAGTGGCAGAGCTGGTGTTCGAATCAGGCAGTTTTGATACTAGAATCCATGTCCTTATCCACAATACCTGAAACATAATTCTGACCTTGGCAATCAAGACAAAAGGGGATCGCCCACATTTTACTGTGTAAGTATGAATTGTCTTATGGTGGCAATTTTTGACCCTAAATTCAGGGAGAAGGCTGTTAGGCATGTGAGGCATGGGAGTTCTTTGTTCTGTGATGCAGTGATGACATCAGGATAAACTGCCACTAGGTGGAGGAAGATGGACTGGCTGCTAGGGGGCATCCTTAGGGCTGAGGCTGTCAAGGGGCTTCTCTGGAGCCAGCTGACCCACGCCCTGGCCTGTAGACACTGTGGCAGCAGCTGCCTCCAGAGTACAGGGAATTTAGTGACACTATTCCTGTTCGTGATTTGGCAGATCCGGAGGTGGTGGCAGCTTGGGAGCTTGAGACATCTTTGGCTCTGGCACTCTGGGGACATGAAGCAAGGCAAGGTGGGTGACACAGACGTGCAGAGAGCTAAATGACTATTGACACCGCGTGTGAATTTTGGTGAGAAATCATTGAAATGGATGTGAGCCCAAGTGAGTGACTATAAGCCTTAAATGTGAGGCTGGGTGACTGACCACTGACAGTAGATTTGAAGGCAGGTGAGTGATCACTTACCATAGATGTAGGATTATGTAAGGAATGCCAGTCTCCACAAGCAGGCTGGGCAATGGCTGCTAACATTGGATGGGTAAGTGACTGTTGACCACAGATGTGGGGACAGCTGAGTAACCATTCACTCTGGATATGGACAGAGACTGAGCTTCATGACACACCTTGTGTGTCTGAAAAGGCTTCATACCTGATAGTGTCTTTCTCCATCTCCCAGGGCCTATTACTTCTGTACCGTGTGGCTTTCCTTTGTCATCTGTGGAGGCAGAAGTCAGAGGAAGAGGAAGAAGAAGAGGGAGAAGAGGAAAAAGAAGAGGTGGTATTCCTGGATCCATTGAAGCCGTGTTCTCTTCCCAAAGAAGCTCCTATTGAAAAGCAAGCTACCACAGCCCCATCCCAACCATCCTGTGATTCTGAGAGCCAACACAAGATCATAGGGACACCAGAGCTAGTACTCATGCAGACCCCAAGCCCTTCCAGATCATTCCCCACCTTTCAGATCCTGACCAACTTGCCCGTGAGGCGTAAGGCAGCATCAGGGAGTCGTCTACAGCAGAGAAAAAGCCAGCTCTTCTGGGGACTCCCTTCTCTGCACAGTGAGTCCTTAGAGGCCATCATCCTGAGCTCAGGTGGCCCCTTTCCCCTGAAGTTACCTGTTGGTCCTTCTGTCTGCTTCAACAAGCTTTCCTTCCTGCATAGGTCCAACCTGCTGTCTTCCCAATATTGCTCCCCAACCCCACTTCCTATCCATAAAGTGCACACTATGAAAGTCCTGGAAGAGTTGGACCCTGATCCTCAGCAACTTCCCCCTCCATCTTCCCCTTCTGTTCTATCACCACCCCTCCGTCTTAAGTCCTTTCCCATAGACCATACAGGATTCCATTTTGGTGTTCAGGCACCTACACAGTGGCTTATGTGGCAGAGAGCGGTTCCTTGGGTCTCTGAGGATCAAGCCCTGCATCCACATCCTGAACTCCAAAGAACAAGACCCTCCAAGTTTTTCCCCTCATCTGAGGTGTGGTGGGGGATGCCATGGGATCCTGGCCTCCCACAACACATTCCAGATTTACTCTCTGCCTCTCTGCTGTATCCCTCTAACCTTCTGGGAGTCCTGACTAGGTTTGAGTCCCCACGGAGAACCATGGTGCAAAATGAGGACTCCAAAGCCTCTGAGCCAGCAGTGCCAGTTCCCAGCCCAACCCCAGCCTCTCTGCCAGAACTCCAGGGGGTTAGCCCTAGAGGAGGCCTGTGTGGATCTGATGACCTCCGGAAAACCACAAGGCAAAGAGAGAATCCTCAGATCTCTGAGCCTCCAGTCCTGGTCCCTTACCAATCTGCAGCTCCCATAACAGAGCCTCAAGAAACTAGACCCCTGGGAGTTCCACCCGGATGTGAGACTCAGTGGAGAACCACTGGACATAGAAAGAGTCTGAAAGCCTCTGAGCCCCCAGTGCCAGCCTCTTACCAAGCCCCGGATTCTCTGTCAAAATCCCAGAAAGTCAGCTCTGAAGGAGAACCTTCTATACCTAAAGACTTCTTGGGAACCATGGGGCACAAACAGAAGCCTCAGGCCTCTGGGTCTCCAATGCCAGCCCCCTGTCCTCCCTCAGACCCCCTGCCAGAACTCCAGAGAGGCAGTCCTCTGAGAGGTCCACCTGGATACAAGTGCCTCTGGGAATGCAGAGAAAACTCAGAAAACCCACAGACCTTTGAGCCTCCAGCCTTGGACCTCAATCCAGGGTTCTATGGAATCAGCCCTAAATGTGTCCCATCAAGATCTGAGACTCTACGGAAAGGCATGCAAAATAGAGAAAATCTTAGGGTCTCTGCAGACTCAATTTTACCTGCCAGCCTTCCCTCAGCCTGTCTGATAGAGTCTCTAGGAATGGCGCCCCAGGGAGTCCTGTCTAAGTCCAAGGCTTTGTGGGAGACCACAGGGCGAATAGAGAACCTCTGGACCTCTGAGTCTATAGCCCCTGACTATGGTCAGTCTCTAGCTCCCATTCCTGAGCCTCACAGAATCAATTCTGTGGGAAGCCCCATTAGATCAGAAACTACATGGAAGGTCACTGAACATTCCAGGAATTCCTGGGCTTCTGAGCCCCCATCTCTGGCCCTCAGCCCATATCCAGCTCTCACACTAGAACCCCTCAGAGTTAGTCCCATGGGGGTCCTGTCTGATTCTGAGGCTAGCTATGGGGAATCACAAAGGAGAAAGAACTCCTGGTCCTCTGAGCTCCCAGCCCCCAGCTTACCCCAACAGCCACATGGAGCTAGACCCTTGGGAGTCTTTTCTGACTCTGAACCTGTTGAGGGGTACATGAAGCAGAAAATCTGTTGTGCTGCTCCTGTGTCTCCATTCTGGGGCCCCAGCCCACCTCCAAATTCTATGTCAAAGTCTCACTCAAGTGAGCCTATTGGAGGCCAAGGCAACTATAAGACTGAGGAGGAGGCAGTGGAGCCGAGAGAGAACAGCTGGGCCACTGAGCTCCCAGCCCCAACTCCTAACACACTCTCTGCTCATGTACCAGATCCACACATGGCCCTTAAGTTTGTGAGGAGGAATGTGCGACAAAGAGAGATGCCCCAGGGTCCCAGCCCTCCAGCAGCAGATCCCCTGCAGCCAATACCCTGGCCTCCCACCCTAGCTGAAGCTCTGAAGACTGAGCCCAACCAGCCTGGCCTACCCAAAGAAGAGCTGTTCCCAGGAGTTAAGGGAGAGATCCCACCCTCCCAGAGAGAGGCTGTCCCAGAGGCGTCCATGCACTCTGGGATCCAGGTCTGGCACTGGAGTAGAGAATTAGAACTCGGGCTGAAGAAATTGCAGCTGAGCCCTGCTTCCAGATCCCCTGGCCCAAGTCAATCATTTGTCAGTTCCCCTGCCCTGAGCTCCACAACTCCAGGCACTTGGAGACTCTCTTCTTACCCCTCACGACAGACTCATCACCCCAACCTGTGTCCCTACTCTTCAAGCTGTCATCCCCCAAAAGCAGAAAGCACAGTAACTCAGCCTGTCCACTGTTATCACTCCCACTCCTTTTCCCATCCTCAGCCACATGGGTCTGGTAGGGCAAAACAAAGGTCTCAGAGGGAGGAAAGAGTGAAGGCAAAGATGGTGGCCCAGGTTTCACCTCAGGGACCACATGTTCACATGGAGGCTAATGAAAACTGCCCAGGCTTGAGAGAGGCCTCATACCCTGAGGTTCTAGTCTCAGGTAATAGGCAAGACAAAGCTTTGGCACAATTTTTAGCCAGAGAGACAGACAGACTCAGGAAATCCAAAGCAGGAGACCACAGAGGAGGGGATGCAAGATTGGGGTCATCCACAGTCATGGGGAAGAGCCACCCAGTCCAGGCTGGAAGACCAGTGGAGGCCCCTGTAAACCGACTTTTCCAAAGGAACCAGAGCTCTCTCCACACTGCTCTTCCCCAGCAGCTTTACTCCATGCCTACAGGCCCCCAAGATAAGCGAGAGGCAGAACTGAGAGCTGGTTATATCCTGATCCCTCAGCACTGTATGCACTGCCCCTGGGCCCACATGGAGAAACACTTCACTTCCCCTACACCTCAATCTCCCCTTACCAGGGGTCTTCGAAAGGTGCTAGCCAAGTGTCTAAGTAGCCGTGGGCCAGGCCCACCAAATCCAGTCAGCACGAGGAACAGCTGGTAGTACTGGCACCTGAGGGCTGGAGAAGCAAGCAGAGGAAACCCTAATAAACTAGCTGAACTAGACAAATCCCACTCGTGTCTTCTTTGGAGCCTGGTGTACTGAGAATGTCAGTTCCCTATTAACTTCTGCAGCAGCTATATTCCCTCAGAATCAGGCAGGTCCCTAAAGAACTCAGGATTCTGCAGGCTTGAATTTCTTTTCAAGTCCTTCACAGATGATCCATCTTGGGTCCACACATTCCTTTCTACAGGTGAGGCTGAAAGGCCACGGGAGCACAGTCCAGTGCTGCCCTTGAGAAAAACTTCACAGCAAGTGAACAGAAGAAAAATACATCTATTCACGTGAGCACAATCAGTCTGGGTCTAGGCAGACCCAGTGTATGCCTGGATATGGTCCCCTTCTTCACCCACTTGACCCACAAGTTCTCCACATATCTTGCTGTTTCTTCTCAGCCCTCTGCTCTTTCCTCTCCCTCGGTCAGCTCAGCAACTATTTATTCCCAAGGCTACAGAAACAAGTGCCTTTCCATGTTTAGTGGCCATCTGGGCTTCTTCTAGATTTGCCTGTTCATATCCTTTACCCCCTATTTGTTGGATATTGTATTAGTTTTCTACTGCTGCCATATAACAAATTACCACAAAATAACAAATTTACTTTGTCAGAAAAATAAAATCAAGAGGTTGACAGGACTGCATTCTTTTCTGTAAGCACAGGGTAGAGGTCATTCTTTGTCCTTCCTGCCTTCTAGAGGCTGCCCACATTCCTCGGCTGCTAGCCCTCTTACTCCATCTTCAAAGTTAGAAAAGTCTTCCCTCTTCCACTTTTAAAAACACTTGTACCCTTCGCTGGTGTGACTCAGTGGATTGAGTGATGGCCTGTGAACCAAATCACAGTTTCAAGTCCCAGTCAGGGCACATGCCTGGGTTGCAGGCCAGGTTCCCCACTGGGGGGCGTGTCAGAGGCAACCAATTGATGTAGTCTCTTGCACAATGATGCTTCACTCTTTCTCTCTCTTTTTCCCCTCTCTAAAAAGTAAGTAAAGTCTAAAAAACTTTAAAAAACCCACTTGTAAATACATTGGGCTCACCTAGATAATCCAAAATACTATTCCTATCTTAAAGTCAGTTGGTTAGCAACCTTATTTCCATGTAAAGCCTTAATTCCCTTTTCCATGTAAAATAACATATTCACAGGTTCCAGGGATTAGAACGTAAACATCTTGGGGGAGCCATTATTCTGCATACCACAAATATTAACTCAACCTATTATGTATTTTGCAGATACTTTCTCCCAATCTGTGGCTTATTTTCTAATTTTAAGGTGATTTTTATTGTACCAAAGTTTAAAATTTTTATGTAATGAAATCTTCCAACATTTTTCTTTATAGCTTCTAAAGTATTTCTTCTGGTACTTTTATAATTTTATATATTAATGTTTAGATTGTTAAGCTGGTTTCTGAGTATGGTAGGTGCAAATCTAACTCCTCCCCAAAAATAGATGTCCAATTTTACCTGTACCATTTAAAAAATTAAAATACATATACAAAATGTCTTAAACCCATTCCATTAAGTGCTATATTTCAAAACAGGATAAAAACTTGTTTTAAATATTCTATTTATTTTTAGAGAGAGGTAAAGGAAGGAAGAAACATCAATGTGTGGTTGCCTCTTGTGCACCCCCAACTGAGGGCCTGGCCCGCAACCCAGGCATGTGCCCTAATGGGGAATCAAGCCAGCAACCTTTACTTCACAGGCTGGTGCTCAATCCACTGAACCACACACCAGACAGGACAAAACATGGGTAAAATTTTAAGCATCTCTAGGTTACAGATCCACACATCCAACAGCCTACTAGATATCATCTCATATGCAACTTGTCCAAAACTTACTCATTTTCCCTGTAACCTTTTCCTCCAATTTGGCCATTCCTATTGAAAGGTACCACATCCACCCCAAGGGTAGCCAGAAGTCTGTCTTCCCTTCCTCTCACTCCCCAATCTAATCAATCATCAAATCTGTTAGTTAAAGCTATGAGGTGTATCTCAAATCCATTTCCATCTCTCCATCTTCATCATCACTGTCAGTTATCATTTCTCACCAAATTAGTAGCCCATTCCTTCTAATCCATCCTTTTACACGGCTACAAATCTCTGAAGGTCAACTGACCCAAAGTCTTCAACAAGTGCCCTAAAAGTTTGAGTACTATAATTAAAAATCAGTTTTAGCCCTGGCTGGTGTGGCTCAGTGGACTGATGGCTGCCTGCAAACCAAAAGGTTGCTGGTTCAGTTCCCAGTAAGGGCATACGCTTGGGTTGCAGGTCAATGTTTCCCTACTTCTCTTTCTCCTCCCTTCCCCTCTCTCTATAATTATGTAAATGAAATCTTTAAGACAATGGTTGTGAATGACATATCTGGGTCACTCGGGAAACTGTGAATATGAGAATTAGACTATATAAAGATTTCTGAAAGGGAGAGATTAGCATTTAAAAAGTTATAGAGCAGAATGACCTCATTTTGATTTAAAAATACCATAGGTACAGAAACACATGCATATGAACTAAAGATGGTGATCTTGTATTGGGAATATCAACTTTTTAAATTTTGCTTATATTTTTCTTAATTTTTACAATGCACATTACTGTTATATAAAAATAAAAGTGTTTTTTTAAATTGTCATCTGAGGACATTTTATATGCTTTGAGAGAAAGGGGGGGGGGCGTTGGAGATAGGGGAAGGGAGGGAAAAAAGGAGGAGACAAACATCAACTGGTTGCCTCTTATATACCCTGACTAGGGACCAAATCCACAACCTAGGCATGTACCCTGACCAGGAAATGAGCCCACAACCTTCCAGTTTGCAGGACAATGCCCAACTGAGCTACATAAACCAGGGAAAAATAAAGGTTATTTTTAAAGTGAATTGTCTATGATGTACACTTGGTAATTGTTAGGTAATTTTTATTTTATTGCCACAATTTAAAAAATAAAGTGGCCCTGGCCAGGTAGCTTAGTTGGTTAGAGCATTGTCCAGATACACCAAGGTTGTGGGATCAGTTTCTCATCAGGGCACATAAAAGCACCAATCAATGAATGTATAAATTAGTGGAACCACAAATCAATGTCTCCCTTTTTCTCTAGAAAAATCAATTTAAAAAACTTTAAAATCAATAAACACTTATTTTAAAAAAACGAATCCTCTGCACTGAATCTGACTCACTTCCCTGTCCAAATTGTTCCCTTCCTCAAGGACCCATAGTATCTTCAGAATAAAGTTCACTTCTGGCATATGAATTTCTTCACAATGTGGTTTCTGACCTCTCTGAATTCAATCCAGGACTCCCTTGCTAGTCAACCTGATGCTTCTTAGGCATTCTCTGTATTTCCCAACATCTGTGCCTTTTGCTGATTGTTCTCAACATTTCCATGTCAATTCCCCCACCTTCCTTTATTGCCCAGCTCAGACTACCTCCAAAGCCTTCTCTGATTCTGTTTGCCCCTTCTTGTAGCCCCATAACAATCTGTGCCTTAGGTTATGACCAGGTAGCTCAGTTGGTTAGAGCATCATCCTGATATACTAAGGTTGCGAGTTTGATCTCCCATCAGGGCACATAAAAGAAACCACCAATGAATGCCTAAGTGGAACAAACTGAGGTTTTCCTGTCTCTCTCCCCCTCTTCCTCTCTAGAAGACAAACACAAAACCAAAAAACAATTTGTGCCTTGTTGATAGTGCACATTTCCTGATAGTATTCCAATTCAAGCCCTTCAAAGGAAATGAGATTCTGCTCCGGCTGGTGTGGCTCAGTGGATTGAATGCTGGTTTGCAAACCAAAGGGTCACTGGTTTGATTCCCAGTCAGTGCACATGCCTGGGTTGCAGGCCATGTCCCCAGTAGGGGCGTGCTAGAGGCAACCACACATTGATGTTTCCCTCCCTTCCCCTCTCTCTAAAAATAAAATCTTTAAAAAAAGAAGGGAGATTCTGTGAGGTCAAGCCCACATTCCCAATCCAGTGCTCTTCCCATCCTACATTCCCTCTGTTTGGTTGAGGAAAGACAGTCAGAAGGTACGTGTTGTTCCTCTGCCTCCTCTCACTAACGTCATCATTCTATCCCAAAGCTTTATTTATAGCCCTCAAACCTGAGGGCTGCAGTCCAAAACTCACCACCTGCTGGCTAAGGGTGGAACTGAAGGTACTTTCTTTTCCCCACCTTCCCCCACCACCATACCCCCACCCCTCAAGTCTCAAAGACATTGCAATTCTGAATTTCTACTTGACACGGGGACATTTAATGAGTCTATGCATCTCTGGGTAGCTTTATGAAAAGCCCAAGTCCTATATTCTTTTTAAGGATTTAGTAGATTGTAGGACTGGGTAAGGGTAACAAACCATTTAATGTTTGCCACAGTTCACTCAAATTAATGATCAGCAGACCAAATCAATGACTGACAAGTCAGTCTTCCTCATGGGCATTGTGTGACTATCAGATTCTCTGGGCAACTTGTAGGATTGATTATCTTGGATCCAATTACATTCTAAGATGTCAGACTTGTTCCATCTGTGGCATACTGTTGGTCCTCTGTAATTGATGCCATATACTTAAAAACCCATCTTTTAATCATTGCACTTAACCTATGGGTTCTTCCCATAAGTTAATCACTTCTGTGATTAACTACAGTTAATTAAGACCACATTCCAATTTCTTTCTGGGAATGCCATATGTGAAAAGACAGACTGTTGATACAACTTGCCTCTCGGTTTAGGTATGCAGGCTTCTGCAGATGAAAGGTGACAACTGGTCCCTCACTGCTTCCTACAGTTTACAAATGACTGTCAATCACTTTATCAGATTAAGAATCTTGAGGCGACAAAAGAGGTAAACTTGTTCAAAGCTACACTCTTCAAGCTCAAGTGCCAGCACTAGAACCAGGCCTCCAACTCTAAGTCTGGTCTTCGTTTTTCCTAAAGAAATCTGTAGAGCTCCAAGTAAATTCCCTATAGAC